TTTCAGTGCTGTATAAACTGCAGGGAGTTGTGTGGGCTTATATTAAGCTACAGTGTCTACCAGCCCAGAAACAAATATCACAGGCCATGGGCTAGATTTGGTTTGTTAAACGATAGTAGTCCCCTGATTAATTTGCTCTTCCAAATATGACCAGCCTCTTGAAATAAAGCTCTTTGTCTTTTTTTATGTGAATAATATGCAAAATAAATTAGACACTCTTGATTAATTCGAAATGGTCTTGCTAGAGTTAATATTTTATCTAAATTAAAATACAGATATACTTAGAAAGCTTAATAATCATATATCAGTAACTGATATTTGTTATAGGTGATCTGTGGCTATAATTTAAAAGAGCAGTGTGCTACGTAGCATTTCGGTCCCCAACAGGCCCGGCACTGGTCCATGGCCTGTTAGGGAAGTAGGGCCGCCCATCACTGACTGAATTCTGTCTCCCTTCCAGCCCCCAACTTGCATGAAACCGGTCCCTGGTGCCAAAAATGTTGGAAACCGCAGCAGAAGGCTGCTTTTAAATCTCTAAGGAGCAGCCCAGTCCTGCAGGGCACATGGCTGCATCTCACCTACCACCACATCCAGTTGTCTATGTGTCCTACATAATTATCTGAGTTTTCCTCTCTAGTGGAAAAAAACGATAGAAACAGATACATCCTTTTGAATAATAGATCTTCACTGAATATCTATCATGGGCAAAAAACTCTGCTGGAAGCCATGAGGGGGCAGAGGGATGGGGCCCTCAATTTAATAAAAAGGTGAAGCCCTAACAAAACCTTAAATTTAAAAAGAAAAAATTTGGTGGAAAAAATTTAAGAAAAGGAAAAAAAAAAAATCAAGGTTCCTAGATATTTTAGGCAGAAAGCAACTGTTAGCTTTATCTAAAAGAGAAAGCATTGCCCTGTGAATGGGTTGATTTGTAAAGTGTAGGAAAACTGCCTTCAATATTTTAATTTTTGAAGTGGGTGGTGGTTAAATAGCAGTTTACTTTATAATTATTTGTTTTTATATGTGTGTGATACTCTTTGTATGTCGGTTATAATTTACAATGAAAAAGATGGGGGGGAGGAGGAGGATTTCTCCAACCTCATATCTTCTGGAATTGTACCTGAAATTCCTTTTTATTGGTTAACTTTATTAGTTAATATTTGGCCTTTCCTTTTTCTCCTCTTCCAAATGGGAATTATATGTGGACATGATACACAAAGACATAAGCCCTTTATTATGATGGGTTTGTCAGATTACTCTGCTCTGTAGCCCAGGAGTATGAGCTAAGTAAGGTAGAAGGGAAGATTCTGGAATGTGATGTGATGAGGGGAGGAAAAGTTTAGAGAAGGAAAACAATAATGCATGTCAGCAAGATGGAAAGCCAGCAAACAGAAATAAGGCATAACCTAAATTTCTTACCTTTGCAAATTTCAATAACCAGCACATAACCTAGCTTTACTGAATTGATTAGTTTTCTTCTCAAATGGTAGTGTGGTAAAATCTTACTAACTTAAACTGATTAATAGTATTCTGAAAATATTACGTTTAATTGTCATGAGTATTTTAGTTATTTTTAAGCACATATTTAAAAGCATGAAGAATGCTAGTAAATATGAACTAATTAGGGTTTTTTTAAGATTAGCATGTGAATATTATATGAATGGATACTTCAGAAGCGCTCCTAGAAAGTTAATGCTTTTGAGTGGTCATTCCCCATGTAGTCTTGTTTTCCTAATAAAACTTTTAAAACCCAGCCTTGTCCAGTTCACATTAGTTATAGAGTAGAGGAGTCCATATAAAGAGATATTTAATACATATCAGCAGACTATAATATAGATGGTGACCAGCAGTTCCCCATTTTGAAATAAAATAACCGTGATTTTGATTGTATTACTGACTATATTTCATTTACATTGCATATATGAGAGTTATATGACTGTTATGTTAGTAAATTAATCCTGACTATACTGGTTGTGTTTGTGAAAGAGAGCACTCTTTTGACTTTTTTCCTTAAATTCTTTTGGAAAACCATCCAACTAGTGTTTCATCTTAAAAATTATGATTTGGATATTGTGGATAACTAAATATTGCTTTCTTTAAGAAAATATATAAACGTAATTTATAGTTTTTCTATTTTAAAATATTCTTCAGTTACTTTGTCTACATATTAATTTTTGGAAAATTTAGATGGAAACTAGGCTAAAGGGATTAAGCAACTTCACTTTCCACAAAATGTTTATAGAACTAAGAAAAGACTAGTCAGTCTAAAGAGATTAGGATTGGAGCAAACCTAGGTTTATTCTTACTCTGTTAGCCTGAGCTTTGGTTAACGTGATGAACATCTTTACTCAGCTCTTTTCCTGTTTGTGTTACTGGCACTGGGTATTGGTCCCTCTGCTGTGTCCCTCTCCCCCAGCCTGGGAGAACATGAAAGTCCCTTTCATTTATATTGTAAATTATTAATGCCTGCTGAGAACGATACTACATTTAAATAGAGTTTATTAGGAACAATTAAAAATGTTAATGTTGGGGCACAGCTACTGTCTGTGGGCACAAATGAGTTAGTCCCTCCTGCCACTGCCCCAGGGCCATACCACCTAGAGTTCCATATGTGAGAAGCAGCTTCATCCCAAATCTGTGCCTTGCAGTTGTGAGAATTTGCCCTTGTGATTTTTGGTCATGTGGTTATTGCAAAAGTGACTTAGATGGTGACTGGCCACTGCTGATATTTTATAGCACATGGAGTCTTTTAAGCAATTTGGTTGTGTCCTCTTTATCACACCTGGTGAAACGTACCCCAGCGTTATTCTTTGCGCACCCTTGGATTAAGGATATTGTTCAATTATTGTTAGTGGCTCCAACATGAGCTTGCTTTTAGTGTCACATATAGCTTCTGGCTTATCTTTCCATTTCAGGATTCCAAAATAGGATCAAAATTCAGATATTGGATCCATGTCAAATTCCTTAGAGTAATGATATTTGAAGCTCTTATTTGAAACCACTCTTTTTTCTCCAGAGCGTGTTTATTAATGTTTATCTTTCCTGATGGGTAGCCAAACATGCCTCCAAATTGCTCTGGAGACCTGCCAGCTTTGGAGGTGCTCAAACATTCTTGTCTTTCAGTCTTGGTGGCCCTGGAGAGAAAGTATTCTTCTCTTAGTTGGTGATTAGGTCTTCTCCCTATTGGACATCCCTTTCACTTGTCCTCTAAAGCTGCAGTCCCAACTCCTGGGCCGAGGACCAGTACTGGTCTGTAGCCTGTTAGGGACTGGGCCACACAGCAGGAGGTGAGTGGCAGGCAGCCAGGGAAGCTTCATCTGTATTTACAGCCCTCCCCATCACTCACATCACCGCATAAGCTCCGCCTCCTGTCAGATCAGCCAAGGCATTAGATTCTCCCCGGAGCAGGAACCCTACTGTAAACTGCACATGCGAGGGATCTAGGTTGTGGCTCCTTATGAGAATCTAATGCCTGATGATCTGACGTGGAGCTGAGGTGGTGATGCTAGCGCTGGGGAGCAGCTGCAAATACAGATTATCACTAGCAGAGAGGTTTGACTGCACGATAAATGTAATGTTCTTGAATCATCCTGAAACCATTCCCCTATCCCCAGTTTGTGGAAAAATTGTCTTCCATGAAACCAGTCCCTGGTACCAAGAAGTTTGGGGTCTGCTCTTCTAAAGAATCGATTGCCTCCGGTTGCTCTTTAATTTAGACTGCTTTTTGAACTGTTTGTAGTAGGCCACGGATGGAAGTATTGTGTGATTTAGAGCTGTGATTTAGTGCTGGGTTGCAAGCAGCAACCCAGGCTGCTTGCTTTCAAAGCTTTCTCCACCACTCATGAGCTGTGGGACCTTGGGAAAGCTCATTATTTTAATCTTTAAAAATGGGATAATATTATTATCTATTATGGGATTATTTTGAAGATTATCTAAGTTAAATAGATGTGAAGTGCCTGGAACAGCACCTGACACATAGTAAGTACTCAATAAATATTAGCACTTATTAGTATTATTGACGCATCTACATGACTCAAACTCTCAGCAGTTAGTGGTGATTATGCTTTGGAGTCAATGACTCTAACTGTGGACATACCCCTGCAAGAGTGAGCAGCTCTGAGGAAGACACACCTGCATAGCATGTAGACTTAATTGAGCGAGGCTGTGGGCATCTGGGCTGACTGATTTCTCCTGCTCATCAAAACTGCCTCCTCCCAGAGTGAGGTGCATGCTGCTGGAGGAGAGAAGAGTCACCCTGTCACCTGAGCCCAGGCATCTCACTCTTGCATGCTCATCAGCAGCCCCTGGCCTGAGGATGGAATCCAGTCCTCCTGGAGGGGCCTGAGCACCTCACTTATCTTGATCATGACCTCCAGCATTGTGTCTGCCGTGGGCTCCCTCTGCTGGTCCATCGAGCATGTCTGCAAATCTGTGGAATAACAGCTTTTAAAAATTCAGTTTGAGATGTTTTGGGGAATATTTGCATAAGAAACATGTTTGAAAACTTTTTGTATATAAGTGCTATAGATCACGTCGATACTACTCTTTTTTGGCATTTGCATTATGAGTTAGGTTTGGAATATATATTTTTTGGTTTGGTTTTAAATAGGGGCTGCATGACATGCTGAGAAAACTTCACAACACAGTTATCGAGAACTGATTATTATGTTTTATATTCTAGTGTATGATACTAAATATCTTAGAATCCTATTTTAACAGTCTAAAGAATTTCCATGATGTGGGACTTAGTTAATTCTTAAAAGTCTGAAAAGGTCATAGCCTAGACCACCAGGATGTTGTTATGTTGAGGGTTTAGTGAATGTCAGAAAATAGTACCTCAGATATATTGGATGATTCATTTTTTATTTGGGGTTATAATTTTTCAATAAAATATGCCATGATATCCCAAAAATTGCATTTTAAAATAAGTCTTCTGCTTTGTGTTTTCCTTATCGCTGTCTCCTTTCTCCCATCTATCATTCCTTCCCCCTCTTTGCTACTAGGCTCAAACAGCATAAATAGGACAACTGCAAACATGGAAAATGGAGAAAATGAAGGAACAACTAAAATTATTGCACCTTCACCAGTGAAAAGGTCAGTGCAGTTAACTGAAGAAATACATGACGACATGCTGTCATAAGAATGTTTTTTCCTGTTGACAAGGTTAAAAATCCTTTCAGTATTATAATATTTTTGATCCATGGGTCCCAGTAAATAATCTCTGGGCCAAAGAATATTAATACTTTAAAATGGCAGTGAAATATAAAACATCAGGACCTGCCTCTGTCATTTAAAGAAAACGCCCTTTTTGTGACAGCAAGGTGAACTCCCAGAGATCATCTGTGGTCTGCATTCTCAGTGGCAAAGTGAACATTCCATGTGACTCTTAAAATGGCATGATATAACGGACTAACTCAGAGGGACTTGTGAAATAAAGTAGATGGCATTCATGTTTAATGTGCACTGAACTGTGGCCCTGGAAAGAGGGCTTATGGTATTTAGAGGCATCAGAACCTCAGGAGCCAGGGATTGCATATGTATGAAGGCTCGTCGTGGTCTTTTGCGTCAGTATCCCCAGTGGCATTCCCCAGTGGCAAAACCTTCTTTTAATATGTTACAAGGATTGTTTCCCTGAAAGCTCAGCCTTGTTCTACCAGACACTGTTGCAGAGTCATTTTTTTCCCATCTCCAATTATGTTCATGGCCATGACACAGGCATACAATGAGCAGCTTTCATAAGCTCACTTTCTCTATAGAGGCGGCCCCCCTACATTATGAAGTCCCAAGCAATCAGATATGTGACCTGCAAAGATTTCTTTGATCATCAACTCAAACTTTTATTAGTAAATAATGGTGTCTTCATTCAGCTGGACTGTGGATACTTAGAGGAATATTGTTTATAATTTCTCAGCAAGATAATTTTAAGATCTGAAGATTCTTAAGAGTTGGCAATATTTCACCCAGGGTTTTTGCCTGTATTTTGTTTAGTTTGAAAACATTTACAGATTATGCTTTTGGAATGAGAAGTTCTTTACCTTTGTATACACTTTAGTTTACTGTGTTTTCTCCTAGTTGGCCTCATAGCTGTGAATAAATAAAGTCAGCTTCATCTGTATGTACAGGGTATGGTTGTGGTATATCCAACATAAGAGCATTAACTTTATATGGAATTCAGATCCCAAGCCCTTTTATTAATAGAATTGTTCATGAGGAGTTTCATCCCTTTTGCAACCACATTCCTGCCAATAGTTCTGGTACCTCAAGGCTGCCAGATTTTCCTACTCAAGCTTCAGAAGAGAGACAGCTTAGGGAATGAATGCAATTAACTTGCCACCCAGGGTTTCATTATTTTTTTAACTTTTGTCTTCTCTCTCCCTTCCTCTTTCATCTTCCTATTTCTTTTCTCAATCTCTCCTTTCTCTTCTTCTTCTTTCTGATTTATTAAACACATACTCTTTTTACTGTCGCATTAGATAGCTACCATATTTTATTATTTTTCCTGATTTCAAAAGGTAAGGTTTTACCTTGAGAGTCGGATCTTCAGAAATTTTTAACCTTTATAAAATTAATATATTTTCCCTATATAAACCCTGCCTACTATACTAATACTATAAGTTACATGCCTTTGTCAGATATGTAATTTTGTAGGTTTGTATTAATTCCTACATAGATTATATTTACGTTGGGGTGCAAATTTATTTTCTTTTTTTTGACCTTATCATTTTTCCTCTCCCCCTCATTGTTGGCTGTTTATAACAGAATTCTGCTATGATCATATTCTAACACAATTACATAGAGGATTCCTTAGAAAGCCAGGGTTTAAAGTGGATTGGGCACTAACTGTTCTATCTTTATCTGAAGCTAAGACTCCAGAGGAAGTGACAGGTGACACATCCCCTCCCCCACCGCCGACTGAAGGCTTCTGATGAGTCCCTTCCTCTGTGTCTCCCTGTGTGTTTCAAAAACAATTTGTTGGGATTGAATAACAACTCAGTTATATTTACCTTCTTAGGGCAGAAAGATGATACTAGGTCAGGAAATAGCATTTGAAAGTCATTCCGGTTTGGAAGGATGACGCTGAGATATGGCAGAAGCCAGGGGAAGGTCAGTTTGGGTAGCCTGAGCTCCGAGCTGACTGACCTGCACAGATTCAGAGCCGGGGCCTCCACCCTTGTTGCAGAGAGGAAGTCAGCCTCCTGAGCTCAGCCTCCCAGGCCTGCTTCCTTCCCAGCTTGCTGCCTTTCTTGGCTCAGTGGCTGCACTTGCTTCGTATCCTACAAGTGCACCCTCTTTGACGTTTCTTAACAGTTGGCAAACCTGGCTTCTGTTGCCTTAAAGCAGTAAAACTAGAAAGAAGGGGCAAGGACCCAAAGGTACTTGTTGGAGACATAGTTTCTAGGCAGCCACCTCATGTTCTTTTTGGAGCCACAGGTATAAATAAGCAAATGAACCCATTTTAAGACTTGTTAAATAGTTTTCCTTGAGAAGTAAGTATGTGAGTCTACTTTCATTTTCTAGTTGATTTATTTTCCATACTTTTTTTTTTTAAATTAAAGCTTTAAGAAAGCAAAGAATGAAAACAGCCCTGATACCCAAGGAAGCAAATCTCATGTACCGTGGGAAGAAAATGGCCCCCAGAGGTAAAAGGAATCATTCATTGTTTGTATAAAGGAGAACAGTGGAAGAGAGAGGGGTCAGCAGTTGCAGCTCATTGAATAAAGGAATCCCGCTGCCGTGTGGCTGGTCACAGCGAGCAGTGGACATGGCCGTCAGGGCTCTAAATCAGCGTGACGGGGTGGGGGTGGGGGATTTCTGAAGTGGAAATCAACAGTCTGTGCCTTAATGTGAAACTTTTTCCTGGAAAAACAAAAGGGGAACCTAAGGAATATTAAGAAAAATTACCTGAAAGGTAGTTGTAATAGTTTAGAGTAAGATAATATATTGCTGAAAACTCTAAATGATTTATTAATGATAATTCCCCTATTTCACAGTTCTCATAAAAACTTTAGGTGAAAATGACTGCTCATGAATAGTGATGGTAGAAGACCTTTATTCCTAAAAATATGGATATCTTTAGCTTCTTTCGGTATACAACCTCTAAACCAGTGACAGACCTGCATTATAACTTACTAGTATTATTGTGGTTCCAAATATGACTACCTAGGGGTTCAAATTCTAGCTCTGCCACTTCCTAGAGCCATTATTTGGGCCACTTTATTAAATATTCTATACTTCCAATTTTTCTATTAAATGGCTGTCATAATTGCACCTTAATGCTGCAGGTTGATATAAAGATTAACTGAGATAATGAATATAAATAAAGCCTCTAGCTCAGTGAGTGCTTAGCAAGCAGTAGGTTCATCATAAACGTGAATTGTGATGGTTATCATTGTGTGTGCTCATTTCTTACTATTGAAGGCTAGTGAGACAAATCCATTCCTGCAACGTAATGACTTTTGTCATTTGATTTTATCAGATCGTACCTTTCTTTTCTTTCAATAAATCTTGGCAGCGAAGAGAACCGTGTGCCCTAAAAGTGCCAACTGTGCAGTTCTGAACGAGTCCCTAGATCTGGGTTGTGGTGTTGGCTCCTGCAGGCTCTTTGTGGGCTCTTGTTGACTGTTGCTCTTTCACTCCAGTGGACTCTACAACTCTCCCAATGACCGCACCAAATCCCCAAGGTTCCCCTACACGCGTCGCCGAAACCCCTCCTGTGGAAGCGACAATGACTCTGCACAGCCAATGAGGAGAAGGTGAGCTGAACACAGCCCCCTGCTTTTTAGTTTTCCATGGAAGGTTTGGGCCCCGGGCATGTTGTCTATAACAGATAATTATCATAATGTCATTACTATTTGTCTTCCCAAGATAACAGGAAGCTTATTCTTTTTGGAATAAAATAAGTATTTATCTTAAATAGCCAGAGTTTGGGGAGAATAATTTCATGAAGAATTGATGGGAACTTGCTTTCTGTATTTTAATTAAGACTAAGTTAAAAAATGTGTGCATGATGTATGTACGAAAAGGTGTATTATATGGCATATATAAGATACAGTATAATTTACATATATTAATAGATAAAATGTATTAGATGTTTCTTCCTGAGAAGACAAAAGCACATTTAAAGATAAGCCTTCTTAGTGGAGTCTGAGTGCTATGTCCTCCAGACTGATACTATTCATAAGTCCAAGTACCTTTCAAAGCACAGAGAAAATTAATCCTGTTGCATTTCAACTAACATGTCAGAATGTTTGTCTGGATTGTATTTGTATATGTATGCTTAAATTTTGTTAAAATAAGGCCTTATCCAGAAGTTTTGGACTCTACAAAGCAGTCTGAGTGATTAGACAGGTACAGAGAAGAAGATCTAGAAATGGCTTACCAGTGAAATCCATTTCACTCCTATATTATAGAGACTATGTTTTACTGTGGGCACCCACATAATTGGTACTGTGTAAGTGACTTTCATAATTTTAAGAAGTTTAGGTCATGATGTCACATAACCATTGATATTGTTTTTATACACACTGGATTTGGAAGCAGAGCCTTTCTCTCTCCTATGCGGTTGTTCATACTCACTTGCTGGTCCTTCCTCACTTGATCCCTTCTGCATTTGCCAGTTTCCCAGAGTCTTGTCCTCCAGCTTTCTCAAACCAGGTCCGGTTTCACTGAAATCCTTTGATGGCTAAGAGGAGAGAGGTCTACATCACCTTCACCTGGTAGGATTGAGAAGGGAGGCTAGAGCACAGGACAAAGGGTGATTAGATAGAGTAATGGAGTCATGGTTGGCATTTGGTGTTGACCATGTTCCAAGTACTAAGCAAAATGCTTGCTATATAATACCTCGTTTGATCTTAATAATAACCATGTGGGAATTGGCATTTGTATCGTTCAGTCGTGAGGCGTTTTTAGCAGAGAGGAATTAAGCAGGGAATTGGTGCAAAGGTATGAGTGGGATTGAGAGCACAAAAGGCAGAGAGGTGGTATAACCCAGAGATCTGGCTTTTGTGATTGCTCCTGGAGGAATACAAGGGGAGAAGGGGTATTACCCAGAGACCAGAAGCTGCTTCTACCTTTGAGCTGGCACTCCTGAGCCTTGCTTGCTGCTGACGTTGCTGTTGGCACCGCTACACATGCGAAGCAGGAATCACTCTTGTTGCCACCACTAGAGGTACCAATGCTATGGCTAAAGCCATGCAACACCCACTTCTCTCAAGTATTGGTGTTGATGCCACAGGTGCTAACAGAAACAGTCACTTGCCCTCTTTTCCTGCCTTCAAATCTTACTGGAGTGCTTCTCTAACTGGAACCCGGCTGGCAAGGGAATCCAGGAAAATAGAATTTTTAGTCTTCCAGTCTCAGCAGTAGAAGAGAGATTATAGATGAGTTGGTAGGGCCTGAGTACCAATGAAAGATACTTGGCCCAACATCGACATCACACTCTACAGAGGAGAAAACTGAGGCTCAGAGAGAGCACAGCTCATCCTCTGTGGCACATCTAGGATTTGAATCCAGGTCTATACCTCAGAAAAAGGTGGAGGCAGTGAACCCTTCTTTAATTAAGGCTCTACCTCAGTCCTTCCTGAGCTTTCTCCTTAGGAACACCCAGAGTTGATTCAACTTGGAAGGTGCTTAAAAGTATTTTGTAGTGGTATTGCTTTGGTTTTAAGTGCATTTGTGTGTGTATGTGTATTGAGGGGATGTGGGTGGTGGGAATGACTAGATATAATAAGAACCTGGCATGTATTACTATTGTTAGATTTTTATGGTTTTTCATCCTTAATTATTAGTGCAGTTTGTCAGCATTCCTTAAATATCAATAAGATCATTGCATGTGTTGAGCAGATAGTCGTTTTTATTTTAATACATTCAAAAGCGAACTTATCAAGTTTTGCTGAAATATGCCAAAATTAACACTTGTTTTTATCCAAACTAATTGCTTAAAATGGTTTGGAGCATATACATTTGCAAATTCAGACTTCTATACTGAGGTATATTTTCTGCTGGCTTCCTGGGAAACACAGAAGTGATTGTACAGAGTGGATACAGGATTCTTTCATTGGCATAGTCCAGGGGAAGGGATATTTTAACCTGCCAGGAAAAGGATCTTTTCGCCTGAGCAGCCATAGAGCTTCTGTCTGGTGCCATGTGTCACTTAAAGGTCTCTTGTTGGGCATGTGTGTTTTGAGGCGACCAGCCATTGTTGTGTGTTGGCGTAGAAGAGCTAAAGCACATTCTTCTGTTTCTTTCCACTACAATTATGCCCTATAAATGTCCCTGTCCTTGTCAGGCTTGTTTTGTCTTCACACACATTTGCCTTGCCCCTGGGCACAGATCCCTGCATTGCTGGATTCTCTCTGACATTTAAACCTGAGCTTTGTCTTTAGCATGGAAACATCTCAAGGACTTACATTTAATAACAGGAGTGTCTATTTTGCTTTGGATGCCAGAATAATATGTTTTGCAATAGAGATAAAAATTTCCTATTTTATCAGTTGTTTGTCATGAAGTGGATACAGCTGTCAAATTCTGAGTCTAGAACAGTGGTCTTTAACCTTTTGGGGTGATAGTACACCCTGAGAATATGGTAAAATGTTGGATTCATTCCCCAGGGGGCAAAAAGTACATATTTAAATACACATAAACATTTTCATATAATTTTCAAGGTTTATGGAGACTCTGAAACCTGCTCATTTAAACATTCCCATTCTAGAAAAAGAAAGGCAACATATTTTCTGGTGGTTCAATAAATTTTCATTCCTCAGCTTCCATCTTTATACTCAAAAATGTTTGAGTGCCTATTGTATACGAGGCAATATGCTAAAGAACACTAGACAAAGTCCCTGTCCTTTGGGCACTTACCATTAGGAGAGAAATATATGAATGACATAAATACAAGTACAATTATGACTTGGATATGTTAGTTGAAGGTGAGTTATGTGGTGCTTAGGGGAATTAAAAAAAACTTTTTATTGAAACCCAGGTTGTGTACAGGAAAGAACACATGTCATAAGTGTAACTGCTTGATAGATTTTTACAAACCAAACACCTGTGTAACTAGCACTATTAGGGGACATTTGCTAAGTGCTGAGTCAAGGAGAGCAGGGAAGGGTTTACTGAGGTTGGGCATTTGAGCTGGAATCTGAGCTAAAAGTAGGCAAAAAGAAAGGAAAAATCATTCCAGGTAGAGGGTCTATCATGTAGCAAAGCCTTGGGATAGAAGGGAGCAGGAAACATTCATGAAAAGGAAAAAAGGACAGTGCTGTTCAGACTCTGAGAATGAACATCAATGTGTTAGAAATAAGCCTGGAGAGAAAGACAGGACCAGACCTTGCAGCCCACTTGGGCTTTGTTCAGGATTTTGGTCCTTAGACAAGTAGCTTTTATCAATACAAGGGAGTGTAACAACACGACCGCATTCATGTCTGTAAGGCTGACTTTTACTGTCCCCAGAGAAATGGTGGAAGAGGGCAGTAGTGGAAATGGAGACACCAGGCAGCAGGCTACTGCATGAATCCTAGTGGTAGAGAATGGGAGCTTGGACCGAGGCGGTGATGTAAGGAAGTGGCTGGTTTCCAAGCCAGTAGGACTGGAAGGATCAGTGTGATGGGTAGAGGAGAGGCAGGTGTCAGGAATGAAAGCCAGGCTTGTGCAATTTTATGAATTCAGGTGCCAGACACAGGAATAGAATCACCAGGACATTACAGGCCTGAAAGGGACAATCGTGAGTTTCGTTTCTGATATGTCACATTTATGGTACTTCTGAGATGTCCAGGTGCAGGATTCACATGAGTTGTTGGATATAAGTCAGGAGCTAGATTAGCTGTCTGGACTGAATGATAAATTTCTTAAAGATATTAATTGAAATATGTAATAGAGATGAAGTTGTCTAGGTAGTCAGCAGTCCCCACCCTTTTTGGCACCAGGGACGGGTTTCGTAGAAGACAGTTTTCCACAGGGTGGGGAAGGGGATGGGAAGGGGGAGTAGTGAATGACGAGGAGCAGCTGTATAGAGAGATGAAGCTTCTCCACTCGCTCTTCCACAGTTTATCTCCCGCTGTGTGGCCCGGTTCCTAATAGGCCACAGACTGGTACCTGATCTGCAGCCCGGGGGTTGGGGACTGTAGGTATAGATAGAATGCAAAGACAAAGTCAGCGATAGAGCTATAAGAAACTTCAGCATTCAGTGGCCTTGCTGAAGAAGTTTAGCCGGGAAAGGAGACAGAGAAATTGTGGCCATAGGAAAAATCAAGAGAGCGAAAATCTACTCACCAGATTTCTCCCTTATTTCTTCATTTCCAGAATACTAGAGGCCAGGGTTATATCTCCCAGGCATGAGATCAGAGAATCTCACTCTAAGAAATGGACAGGTGCAAGAGAAGAGACCTACGATACTAACTTTCAAAGGATCCTCCAATGAAATGGTCGAAACTGTCCCATATTAAAGTAGAATGACTGTCACTTAACATGCTCTTCACCGTCTAGAGGGCTCCAGTCTTTTTAGCACCGAATGCTTGAATAGGAAGAGAGAGCCATGATCACCTGCATTTGAGGATAGCTTCTACGTGGAAAGACAGAAACCGAAACAGATGGATATGAGTTGAGTAGGGGAACTCACAGGAAACAGAGACGATATAAGAAAGAAAAATTTCTAAAACTGTAATTATTATCTTTATAAAATGAAAAACATATCAATGAATTGCCATAAAAGAGTAAGAACCAATGAATATGAGTTCTTAGACTTTAAATTAGTGTGGTAGAATTTAAAATCATCAATAGAAGGTTTAAAAGATAAAGGTAAGGAAATCTCCCGCAAAATAGAACTGAAAAATATAAAATAAAACAAATCTATGAAAATAAGTACAATAAAATTATCAAACCTAGATATCAAATGTTCAACTAATGATATTTCTAAGAAAAAATAACAGAGAAAATGTAGGAGATGTAACTGTTAAAGAAATAGTACATACCAGGAGGAATGGCTCATGCCTGTAATCCCAACACTTTGAGAGGCTGAGCTGGGAGGATTGCTTTAGACCAGCCTGGACAACATAGCGAGACCTCATCTCTACAAAAAAATAAAATTAGCCAGATGTGGTGGTAGGTGCCTGTAGTCCCAGCTACTTGGGAAGCTGAGGCAAGAGGATCCCTTGGGCCCAGGAGTTTGAGGCTATAATGAGCTATGATCACACCACTGCACCCCACACTCTAGCCTGGGCATCAGAGTAAGATCCCGTCTCTTAAAAAAAAACAAAACACAAGATAGAAAAGAATCCACCGACCATTTGACATAACAGATTAAAAAATTAAAAATTAGATCCCTACCAAGATTCATTATCATTAAATTTTAAAACATTATAGATTAAGAGAGATTCTAAAGACTGGGGGTGGGGAGGGTCATATGAGACAGTATCCATTACAAATGATGACAAATCAGAATGACATTGGCATTGCCTTCAAACTTCTGAAAGGTTATTTTCAATTTAAAATTATATGGCCAGATAAACTATACTTGTATATGTAGAATAAAAACATTTTCAGAAATTTTAGGTCTCAAAAAAGTGTACCTGCCATGCACATGTTCTCTGATAGCAACTGAAAAATACATTCTACCAAGACAAGTAGCCATCAGACCTGGAAATACGGAATTCATCATACAAAGAAGCAAGAGGAATTCCCTGGGTCAAGGTGAAGGGAGTTAATCAAAAGGACACCTGTGCTGTAGCGCTGGAGACTGGGAGCTCTGGGTATGAGTGGGAGGGCAGAGGGCACAGGAGGGATATAAATGGAACTTGCAGATTACCTGAGCATCCATCCATAGCAAGAGGAATTTTGCAGTTCTCAGAGTTTAGATGAAGAATTTGTGATAAGCCAAAGAACACTAAGCAAGTGATACATGTACGTAGAAAACTAGGCAGTCACCCTCTCTCAGAAAATTTAAAACCTGTAAAAGAATGGAGTTGTGTTCCTAGGTCACTACTTAGATCATCCGTGAATAATATTTACAAAATTGTGTTTGTGCTAAATAATTGCCTAAAAATTTGATAGAGGGAAAGGGAACACATTACTTGATGTGTGTATGTTGTGGGAAGTGGCAGAACGTAAGCAACCAGTGGTGGCATTAAAGAGCCACATCCACCCCCGTCGGAGTGGGAAGGCACCAGGTGACAGATGGTTAGGGGGTGGAGCTTGGGTACAGACGCCTCTCTCAAGAAGTTTGGCTTTGAAGGAGAAGAGGGATGGCTGGGCAGAAGTTGAGTAGGGAGCTGGAGTCAGTGTAGGCCTGTGTTTAAGTGGGAGAGACTCAAAAACGTTAATAGGTTTTAAAAACCATTTTCCAGAGGGGCAAGTTGGATATACATGAGCGGTGGAAGGGTAGTTAGTGAAATTCATTGAGAAGACATGAAGTGCCATATGGGACCCACGTAGCACAGGTGGAGGGACTGACCTTAGCTGTAAGGATAGAGCCATAAATAACAGAGAGGGAGATGTTGGTAAGTTTTTATTTTTGGTAGCAGGAAGATGAAAGAGTTCCATCTGATGGCTGCTTTTTCCTGTGGAAGGAAAAAACAAAGTCATGTGCTGAAACAGAGGTGCCATGGGTCAGAAAGCTACGGGGTGAAGAGTTTGAAACCACTTTGTGCTTAGGTCAGAGAAAGGTGGTAGGATTGCTGGCCCATGTTGTGGCCCCAGTTGAGTTTTGTGAATGTGGGTTTGTAGTGTAACAAATATGCCTCTTTTGTGTGACTCCTTCCAACACTGCTCAGCCAGCTGTTTAGGACTGGCCTGGAAGACCTGCCTAGTTGGGTTCACCCATGCATGGGGTTTTGCCAAAAAGGTGGACTGGAAAACGGAGTTGGGGGAAGCATTGTGTGCTGGCATGCGTGTTATTGAAATGATGGGCTAGGAAATCCAAGCTGAGTAAAGGGGACAGTGAAGAGAGGTGAGGAGCTGGTGGAAAGTTGCAAGGTTAGGAGACAGTCCTATTGGGTCAAAGGAAGGGAAGAATGGAAATAGTCGAATAAGCAACAACAATAGCAGTTAACTTTATTGAGTGCTAACAGTGGATCAGGTCCTACTTTATGCATTTTAAGTGTATTTATTTTATCCTTTAACCACTTTGGTACCACACTCACCCTCCTCAAAACCATGCCCACAGCCAGCACTCATAGTCCGCACGGTAGTGTGTGCTGTGCATTGACGACGAATCCGTTTTGCTCTTGTGTGATGAGGAAAGCTTGAAAGCACTGAAAGCTTGTTTTACTTTATAGGCGGCTTTACTTGTAATATAAATCAGAATAGGTAACATATACATATATGTTTTCATTATGTTATTTTTAAATGTTCACAATTTAATTTTGATAAGTGAAAAACTAGAAAAGTCATATCACGGCTGTCGGCTAAAGTCGCAGTGCACATTCATCTGTGGCTGTCGACTATAGTTGACGCTGGTACGGAAGTGGTTAAAGGAGGTTCTGTTAAAACTGACGCACTGAATAGAGAAGTGAATTCTTTAAATCACGCACATCATCAGTGAAGGAAAGGAGATGAGATTCACATTCAGGTTTTCTGGCTCCAGAGCCCACATTTTTAACCAGGATGCCCCATTGGAGCTGTTTGGAGGTAAATAGGAAGTGGTAAACCGGAAGGAAGGGAGATTAGGGTCAGAGAGCAGTGTTTGGAGGTGGTTACAGATGATAAAGTCCGAAGTGTGACCATGATGTAGACTGCTGAGTTGCAGTGGAAGAGGTTATTGGAGAAGACAGAAAGGAACTTTGGGGCCAGGGTATTGGAAAGGGCATCCAAGTGAGAGCTGAGGTCAGATTGTGGCAGAGATTGGCTTGGCGGATTGCAGACCTGAAGCTACAGATTAACCCTATCACTGGATGAATGGAATTCAGACTGCAGCTCCCACTAGATTGAGACTGGTGGTGGTTACGTTATATTTCTGGGACCTGTCGTAGGGTTGAGCATATTTTTATGATTTAAATGTGTGATGAATGAACAAATATAAAACAGATATGCATTAACTGAAGTGACACTCATTTTGGTGTGCTTTCCTTAGCCCGTTGACAATTTTTTGTTTTCTTTAATGTCTTCATTTATTTGTTTTTCATAGGAAAGCCCATAACAGTGGTGAAGACTCGGATCTAAAGCAAAGGAGGAGGTAAAAAAACAAACAAAACAAAACAAAACTGGAAGGAGAGTCAGAGAGGAGGAGGAATGTTTAGCAGATTAGCAATACTCAGTGTGCTCAGAGTGGAGGCAAGAGTGGGGGGATTTCTTTTTTCTTTCAAAAGTCAGTTTTAGCTACAACTGATTCTGTCTTCCATTCTGTTGTATCCTTAGATATTTCTCTTTTTTTTCTGCTCCTCTGTGTCTCGGAGGAGCCGTCTCAGTTACCTATTGCCATATTATAAACCACTCCAAAAATTGATGGCTCAAAGCAGCAACAACCACATTTATCTTGTATCATTCTGTCAATTGAACAGGAAGCTTTTTAGTTTTAGCTAGTCTTGCTCAGGGTCTCAGGAGGCTGTGGTCAGTTGGCAGCTGAGGCTGTGTTATCCAGGGGCCTTTCTCATGTTGGCGTTTGGCAGAGTGGCTGAAGGCCTGGGCCCCTGCTACGTGGTCTCTCCATGTGGCTAGCTTAGGCTGCTTTAGGCGATGGTTGGGAGGAAGCAGAAGCTAGCAGTCCATTAAGGGGTAGTGCTGGAACTGGCAGAGTATCACTTCCACCTCATTCTTTTGGTAGAATAAGTCACAGGACCAGTGTAAATTCAAGGGCTGGGGAAGTAAACTCCACCTCTCTCAATATGGGGTAGGTGTGTGACAAGACTTGTGTCCATATTTAGTCCACCATGGGTGCTTATAGCTTTGCCACGTCAGAGTTTGTTGGATGTGGCTGATTTTGTGGTCTTTTCTGGGAACACGATGACATTTGTCTTCATCTGCTTTCTTATTTCCCTTGCATTGCTGTTTTCCTTGAGCTATAGGCTCATTCGGATGTCTTTGTTCAGAAACACTGTCTGGGCGAGGGATAATACAGCTCTTTATGTTTGAATAAGTAATTTTATTACAAAATTAATTCCAAAGAACCAATTCGAACCTTTCTGAATTTTTTTGTCATAAACATGTTTTTTTTTTGCTCTTTTGCTCTTATCATTTTGTCTTCAGGTCACGTTCACGCTGTAACACTAGCAGTGGTAGTGAATCAGAAAATTCTACCAGGGAACACCGGAAAAAGAGGAACAGGTAATATCTGAATATCATAATTAACTGGCATTGTGAAATCAGAGGCTGTCATTGGCAGCAGAAGCTGTGTATCCTGTATATTGGTAAGCCTGGTTTTCTCATCTGTGTTTAAGAAGGAATCTGGCACTATTTTGAAGCCACTTAGTTTAGAGACCTCAACACTTTGAACTGAATTTTCTTATCTTGACAATAAGATGATTAAACAATTTGACAATGAGGTTTCTTCATGTTTAAAACAAAGATAATTCCATATTTAGGTACAATCTGTAGTGAATTTTTCTAAGGCTGGTAGGAAAGTTTACCATTTGTAGAGAGATTTATCCCCTGAACTTTTAACATGGTATTGTTATTATTTTATGCAACCAAAAATGAGAGACTCATTGTTTCATAGATTCCACAGTTTTAGGCTCGTGTATATTTGCATGCTAATTTGTGTTTACATTCATGCCAGGCACCCAAGATGAGTAAATGCAGTTAGTTCATATATATTTAAGGCACATTTTTAAGAGCTTATTAGAAACATCATTTATTGATAACATGTAATCAGTATTATTGGGGGGCTTACTATATTAATCAGTTCTCCCTAGTTCCAAAATATTTATCTGAAGAGAACAAATACATGTGATTAATGAAAAGAGTACCAAGTTGGGAGTTAGATTTGGTTGCCAGTTTCTAATTCAGTGGTTCTCAACTGGGGGAATTTTATCATCCCTGTCCCCTCTCTGAAATGTTTGGCAATGTCCAGGGACATTTTTTAGTGTTATGATTGGGTGGGTTGAGGGATTGCAACAGGCTGGGGATACTGTCAAACATCCTACAATGCACGGGACAGCTCCTGGCAACAAAGAAGTACCAAGTACAAAAACGTGTCAGTGGTACCATTGTTGAGAAACCTGTTTTTACCTAACATGGAAGTCTGGCCTGGTTGCTTTACTTTTCTGGGTCATCTTTGTCTCTTCTGTAAAATGAGGAAGTTGGATTAGATGATCTCCAAAGTCCTTCTTTTAGTGCTTGGAGCCCTTGTGCTTGGCACAAATTGAATCGGCCACCCTCTGCTACTCTAAAGACTGTGTAATAATAGCCCAGACAGCATTGTAAGAGTGTGGACCCTTTTCTTAGGAAAGCTTTCTATGTGGAGCCTTCTTATGGGCTAGAATTACACTAGATAGATGTGGGATCTCAATGTGTTATGACACCTTTCTCAAGGAAATGGTTTCAGTTTCTTCATCAGTAAAAACCCAAGTGTACGAGTCCTCCCTTAGGTACCCTCTTCCTGCTCTAAAATTTAATATTTCTGCACCAACAACACAAAGCAAGAAAATCTGTTTTTCTATTTAAAACTTCTTGATCAAACCAGCATCTTAACAAATCTATTTCTGTTTTGCTTGATGTATTCTAAATTATGCTCATAGATGCACTATTCTCAACTATTCAGAAGGTGGCTCATTTAAAAACAGTGTCTTTTGGGGCCAGAAGTACTCCAAGTGACATTTGCTGTTGAAATCGAAACGCTAGTGAAAGTTGCCATCCGATCTTTAAATTGCTCCTCGCTGATCTGCTTGGGCTGGCTTTAATGTTCCTTGTAGCTCTTTTCTCCCTTAAGAGTTTCTTCCTCCTCCTCCTCCATGGGCAGATTTTTATTATTTTTTCTTTCATGGGCAGATTTTTAGATTGGCTTTCTTGTACCGTGTAGGAAGTATGTTTTAGAATGATGATGGTTCTGACTGTTTAAATGTTAACACATTTTGTAAGGCTGGTAATGAGGAATAGCTTTCAAAACACATTCTGACACATTTCCTGCGGAGGATCCAACAGGGTTTCACAGTCGTTTATTTTACCTGCAGAAATATTGCCCTAGGGTTACATAAGTTACCTGTGTCTGCAGAAGATGAGGTCTAGAGTCTAGCTTCCAGGAGCATAGCAAAAAGTAGGCAGAGGAAGAAATACGTATTTCAGTTCTGATGCCCACTTCTGCAAATTCTGATGCAGAGAAAGATGGTGCAAACGCATTGCGCTGCCTCTGCATGCTGCTCACCCACTATGCCATGCTACTGCTAACCCATAGTCCTGTTATTAGCCTTTTAAATTTTGCCAGAACATACTCATTCCCTACCAGGATGCATAGGTCTGAGTATTTGAACTGCAGTTTCTGCAATAATTATAACACCTAAGACGACAGAGAGTCCTTATTTCTCCCTCAGTTTCTCTACTTACATCCTCATCTCCATCCTCTTGCCTCCCTCTTCATGCCTTCTATCACCTTGTTTCCCTTACCCAGTTCCTTGCTCTCTCCTAGGCTTCTTTCCCGAACTTTCTTCTTTCCGTCTGTTTTCTCTAAATTCTATCTCTGCCGAGGAACCATTGGTATGTCACAAAATAATCCGAGGATTCCAGTCAGGGTCTTGGTTTTGCCATGTGCTGATTTTTGATGTTGGGCAACTCATTCAACCAATCCACATCTTAGTTTTCTTGTCTTGACAGTGTGGGTGGGGTGTATGGCAGCTGATCTAATTTGTTGAATGAGTTACTGTAAAAGATCAAAGAAAATCTAAGAGGTTGAGAGTGCTTTTGGGTATAGAGCCACACAGTCTCATACTCAATTTTGGAGTTACTGCCTGTTCTTCACCTGTCCTCTCCTCCACCCCGCTTCCAGTCATTTTTACTTTTCTTTTGGTCCAGTCTTCCATTCTCCCACCTTTCCTGACTTTACACATTTAGTTATTTTCACACCAGACATTCATGGGTAGGTTTTAGGGGTCTCATAACACCATGAAATTTTGTATGAAGAATTGTGTGTGCTTTAAGTGCACAATTTTCTACAGGGTCTGTAGTTTTTATCAGATTCATAAGGGGGTGTTTATATGGCCTCCAAAAAGTTACAAAATATTCATTGTGATCTAAATAGTAAAGGATAGGTTGGTATTGGGAAATTAAATGGCGTTTCAGTTCCCTGGTAGGATTAACAGCTAAAATGCACAATTGCAAAGCTGTGGAAACCACCCAAGTGCCCATCAATTCATGAGTGGATTAATAAAATGTGGTATATGTATACCATGGAGTACTATTCCGCTGTAAGAAACAATGGTGATATAGCACCTCTTATATATTCCTGGATACAGCTGGAACCCATTCTACTAAGTGAAGTATCTGAAGAATGGAAAAACCAGCACCACATGTACTCACCAACAAATTGGTATTAACAGATTAACACCTAAGTGGACATATAGGAGTAACATTTATCACATGTTGGGAGGGTGGGGGAGGGGAGGAAGGGATGGGTTTATACAACCACAACGAGTAAGATGTGCAACATTTGGGGTATGAACACGCTTGAAGCTCTTACTCGAGGAGGGAGGGTGGCATGGGCAATATATGTAACCTTAAAACCTGTACCCCCATAATACACTAAAATAAACATAGAAAAAAAAAAGCTAAAATGCTTAAACTTTCCTTAGTGATTACGTACTTTGCTCTACTGACTTGCAAACCATCATGAAACAGTTGGTTCAATTCAGTTCATCACATTGGGAATCTACCCTGCTCAAGGCACTATACAGTTAATAACCTGTGTGAATATTAGATAGTATTCGCTTTTACTAGTTGGAAGTCCCTGAGATCAGAAGTGTCAGCCAGCTTCTCTATAGGTTTGAGCTCATGAGCTGTGCCCTGCATTTTTTCCAGGGCATAGGCTGAAGGAGGAGTACCTAGGAAGTAGACTTAGCAGAGTGAAACCTTTCATGAACCAGCTTTCCCTGAAAATACCTTGAGCTTAGTAAAATATCCTTGACATTCAAAGAAAGCAATCTGCAAAATATCCTTCGCGCTATTGATAAGACTCAACAGTCCTTTGAGCATTCACTGCGGAGACTCTCTGGATTACTCAGTCATTTCTCTAGCTTCACTGTCTTGCTAGGCTCTTAGAGTTTTGAAGTGGGAGATTTGGAGGAATGAGCGACATGAAGAAGTAGTCTGGGATTTTTTTGCAACAGCATAAAAGTGGAAGTAACTCTGGAGCCTGGCGAGGATTAAGAGTAAGGAAAATGAGAGTTGTTCAGGGTAAGAGCAGGACTAGGGGAAATTGGCAGCAGGGGACCATTTGAACCTTTCTCTAATTTTTTTGCATTATGATGCAAACCATGTCACAGGTTTGCATCATAAACACATGAGTCATTTATGTGAGTCTGTGTGTATGTGCACGTGCAAATTGGGGAGCCTGTGTTTTGAATTCAACCCTGCTTTAAGGAGTTCTGTGGCTCCGAGCTGGTTACTTTACTCTTTGAATCTTCACTTCTCATGTGCAAAGTAGAATAATACCTGCCCTGCCTGTACAAACCTTGCAAGAGGTTTGTGAAGAACCAGGAGATAATGGAAGTGTTTTGAAAAGTAGAAAGTGCCCTGCATAGGCAGGTTCTATTCAATTAATGAGAATGTTTATTAATTTATTGAATTAATTAATTAATTAAAATGTTAATTAAATTAATGAGAATGTTTAGCGCTGTTTAGTATTATTTGAAGTTCCTGCAGTGTTTGTAAAATAGGGCCCAGCTTTCCCTTAAACAAAAAAGAAACATTTCTAACATGAATTTGTTCCGGCACAAATGTTAGAGTTTCTTCCTGCCTTTTTGATATCTTTTAGGATCTTTTAGCCTAGTGGATAACCATTAGTATCTGAATAGTCAATTAAGAGAGTTTTAAATATTCTAACTGTGTTCCATAAGGTCTTTTATTTTTCTAAAAAAAAGAAGAAACACATTTCTGTAGCAGAAATTGGGCACTCTACATAACAGGGATGATACAACGGAATAGGGCAAATCCTAGATCATGATTTTGGTAGGATTCCGTTGTGAAAATGGTTAAAACAAACCCACAACTTGATTGTTATCACCATACGCTAGGGGAATCAAAGTATTTGGAATGTTAGCAAACTTGAACCAGCGGGCATTTCTTTCACATAGCCTGAAAATAGGTAACTGCTTCCTTGACAAAGCATTGCCTACTGC